AGCACACCCACACACAGGCACCCACTTTCCTCCTTACAGTTAAGTGTCTCCATCAGCGGAAGACGGTCAAATATCATTCCAGATTTCACCTCCTGCCCCCATTCCCTTCTCTATTGACAACTAGATGGCTTGACATCATTGTCACTTCGGTTCCTGCTACTCCCAGACATGCTATGGAACATGAACAAGCCAGAAATGACCAATGTTACCAGCTTAGGTCTCCCCTCTCTCTGTGTCCCTTGCTTTTCCTCTCTGGTGTGTGCTCTATGGAGGAGTGAAGCAATCAAAGGTGAAGGTAGGAGTATGGAGAATTCTTATCATAAATAATCAACCACAATATAAGGGCTAATATCTAGTGTTCATACTCTCCCAGAGTCTTCTCTCTCTCTCTCTCTCTCTCTCTCTCTCTCTCTCTCTCTCTCTCTCTCTCTCTCTCTCTCTCTCTCTCTCTCTCTCTCTCTCTCTCTCTCTCTCTCTCTCTCTCTCTCTCTCTCACACACACACACACACAGACACACACACATCCATTTTTAATATTAGGGATTGGTTAATTCTAGAAAAGTAAAATTTAGTTCAGGATAAAGTCTAGCTAGCCCCTTTTATGACATTGGAGGCCCCCAAACCAGGCCCCACCCCTTCCCAGCTTCATTCTCTCCCACCCCCCACAGTGAGCCTGGGGCTTTAACACACTGGCCTCCCAGTCCTACCTGCAATATCCCTCCCACTCCCATGCCTCGCTCATGATGCTCCACGGCCTGGAATGCTCTTCTCTTCCACCCAGACCTCCTCTTTCCTGCCTGGAAGTCTCTGCTGTGAGGGCCCAAGTCCAGTGATGCTCCTGCCAGACAGGTCAGAGTCAGTCACCTCGCCCGTGACCTCCCATCACACAGTGCACAACCATCCCCTGATAGTCCGCGAGTGTGTACTGGGAGAAAGGATGGAGAGAGGGTTGGAGGTAGCTAACCACCGCTCTACTCTACCTTCCCAGGCTACTAATAACACCAGGCCTGAGGAGGCTGTGTCCTCAGCCGCACCTGAGAGGTAGACTTTTCCAGTCGGGAGGAGGGCGACATGGTGCCACCCACTGCCGCCTGGCGGCCGTCCGCTGCCATCGCTCCGGGCAGGGCTGGTTCCGCAGTGAGGCACTGGGTCTCTTCCTTGAAACAGCCCTTTCTGGTGCTGAGTGGAAACCAAAACACTTCCTGCGGGGTCGGGGGGAGACCAGAAAATTTATGGATCTTGTCAGGCTTTTTAAAAAATTTATACAACAGCAAGTTGAGTGGATTCAGAGGATGGAGTATAGAAATGAATTTTTCATTTATTCTCTAGGAGGAGAGCTATTTTAAATTTCCAAGGATGATGTATGTTCTCCTTCTTCCATAAACCAACTCCCTTCTTGGGAATTTTAGGTCTATATATTGATCTGCATGGACCATCATCCCTTAAGTCTTGGCTCGATGAATCATTGGGTCATTTCCAGGAAAGGATGTTCACAGAGACTATTCAGCTAGCTCTCCTAGAGCTGTTAGCAGACACCCATGCTGCATGCCCAGGCCAGCGGCTGCCTTCTATAGAGGCCACTCCTGTGACCATAAGACCAGTAGTATCTGCTCTGCTGGTCTACCCCAGTGCCAGCCGGCCCCTGTCCTTTCCTAGTGGCCCTACAAAAGCAACAAAAGGAAGGCCAGAGCTGGGTACTATGCATCAGACTGGGCATTGCCCTCACCAAGAGAGATGGGGCCAGGAGCCAGGGCCCTCCCACCAAAGGCCCAGGTAAAGACTGGACAAGGCTTGGGTGTTGGGAGTTTCAGGAAGGATGCCGCTGAATCCTTTCTTCAGCATAGAATCCCCCACTAACATTCTGCACATAATCAGACGGCTTGAAATTGCACCAATTAGAGATTCACTTGGGAGATAGTTGCTGAGTCATTCACACATTGGCGTCAGATTCCTTGGGTTGTTTTTCCCTTAAAGCGTAACTACAGTCAATTATTTTTCTCTCAAAGGAGTTTTGAAGGAAGGAAGCAGGCAGAGAGAAGTGGGGAAAGTTGGCCTTGGAGACCAGGCATTAAGTGGGGAGAGGTGGGACTGGGACTGCCTCAGACAGACACAGAGAGCAGAGAGCTCAGTGCGTGAGGAGCAGGGGAGAACATCGCTGGAGAGAAGGGTCTCAGAGTCAGGAAGGTGCGGAAGGCCAGGCACCGTGCCCCGAGGGGAGGGGGCGTCCCCGAGCAGCCTGCACTGGAGAGCCTGGTGGAGCAGGTGTGATCAGGGCTGCCGTACAGTACAGCCCAGGATAGCCATTAACATACTGAGATGCAGGCCCGCGGCCCCATAGCTGAAATGTCCCAGGTTTTAGAAATACCATACCCTACAGATACCGTATAAATAGCCTCACGTCAGTTATGAAACAACACATGTTGCCCTTTGGATTTCGAATTAGCAGATAAGAGATCGCGGACCTGGATTTCTGTACTGAGTGGAAACCAGCACAAAGGCTGTCCTGCCGCCCTGGGCACGCACACGGCGCCCCATGACCCCTCAAGTGAAGGTCATTGCCTGGCCCAGCAGGAAGCCGTAGGCCCTGCTCCCACACAGCGTGCTGGTGGGTCTGTGTGCTGTGCCTTCCGGCCCTCGGGGGGCTAAGCCTTCCTACCTTTGTGAAAATGGGGGGAAGCATGTGATGGTTGGTCACAGGGCCCACTTTCCTGAGCAGCAGCTGCGGTGCCAATTATTGCCTCTGAGCCTCAGTTTGCTAGCCTGAAAAATGGGAATAATATCTCTCACTTGGCTGTGAGGGGGACCCATTGAAGTAGTTGGGATCAACTGCAAATTGTTCTTTGAATATAAGCTACCATCATTCATAACACTGATCATCCGGAAAATGAAACCAAAACAAAAATGTATGGAAAGGTGCTTTGTTTTGTGAATTACATACAAAGTGGAGTTGTATTGTTACTGTGAGCCTCCTACCCCAGGAGAGGGTCTGGTTCCCAGAGTTGAGAGGGTAACCTGTGCTGCGTAGCTAAGAGAAGCCTCCTTCCTTCCACCCTCTGTCCTACTTTGTCTCCAGCCCCCGTTCCCCGCTATGGCTGGTTCCTTAGTGAGGAGGACAGAGAAGGAAGGCAGGGAGCACTTGAAATGGATGCACCTGAGGGGTTGCCAGGGGGAGGCAGCCCTCGAGGCAACTGACCCCCATCTGCCTCCATTAGCCTATCCAGGTCCCTGCAGCCTAGGGCAGTCAAGAGCAGCTGGGCTCAGACACCTGCCCAGACACTCTGGCTTCATCTCCTGGGCAATTCTTGGCACAGCACCCCCGGGACTCTGGGAGCCACATGTGCACATTTAGAGCAAAGATACCTCCTGCAGCGGCCCGGGCAGAATCAGGGATAGACATGAAAACCCCGGATCCCTGGCAAAGCATGGCTCCTCTGTGAAGTCATTTATTAATGGCCTGGGAGGCGGGGAGGGACCGTGGTAGCTCAGGAGCAGAAGTTTCATGGTGATAAGATTGAGTTGCCAGGTTTGCTGGGGAAAAGCAGACCCGTCCCCAGCGGGCTGGGGCCAGCAGGCTGCCAAGCATCGCACGCAGGCAAACTCCTCTTCCTTGGGCCCGGACAGACCATTCCCAGGTACGGCTGAGAGTGAGCGAGTGGAGTCCTCGGCCCGTTGGGCGTCAATGTCCTCTGTTCTGTTGTGCTTCGTTTCGTGATGCCGGGTTGTTCTCAATGTATAGATTGGACTTGTGTGTGTTTGACGCTGAGCCCTGGCAAGCTAACAGCATGGCATTGTACAGGGCCGATGTGGTGTGTTTCAATTGCAAGAGGCTGAACCTACAACACAGATCCCAGTGGAATATTCCAGAGCACTGCTCTCTGGGTGCATGCCTTGGGGTTTGAAATGGGTTGCTGGTGAACCTCTGGGCCTTGCATGGCAGAGCCCTCACTCTCCCCGACCGGACCCCCAGACTGAGCTGGGATGTGTGGGAGCTCCTAATCTGCTGTGTATGTTCTGAGGGTCTCCTTGCATTTTCTTAATCGTGAGTAACTGACTTCCTTTGTAAACTAATTATTAAAGAGACCTCACTGCAGAGACAAAAGCTGCGAGGCTCAAGGTGTGACTG